TAGCACATCATTATATACCAGCTAGCCCAACTTCAGTAACCTTACAAACGTCACTGCTGTTTAGTTGTCTGTCTTCATTTATGTTGGAGGTGATAGCAGAGCTGTACGTTTGAATTCTTTCAGAAATCTCTCAGTCAGAACATGCTATATCATGCTTAGGTAACTAGGGAGCTAACTTCTAACTCCATTAAATGTAATGAATTCTATTTTCACAGATGCCTGGATGTTAAACATCATAGTTACACTTGGTAAAGCAGCAACGCTGATCGTTTTATTAAAGATGGAAGAATTTAGACAGTTTTTTAACTCTCAGTGATGCTGCAGTGTTTGTTTGGCTTTGGGACCTGGAGGGGACCTCAATGGATGGAGTTTTGGACCCAGATTACTCCCAGATTTACGAGCATCTTAGTCCAAAAAATAAGGCAATAACGACGGCCCGCTTGCATGTTCTACAAAAAAAATGTGCTTTGTTGTGGATCTGACGGACAAACACCAAACCAGTTAAGTTACACCATTTTTCTGGTTTATCCATTTCACTCAACAATCTGCTTTTCCCATTCTCCTTCTCCGTTACCGCCGTGCTTTTTCGGCACTGCGCATGCGCGTTTTACCCATATTCTATTGAGATATTTTATTTTCTTATCGTAGCCTAGCATTGTACCGGTATTACCGTGAAAGATATAATATCGCCCAGCCCTACTGTGACATATTATCTCCTCGGCTGAACTGGAAAAAACTGTTCATACATTTGTGTCATTGTGTTTGGATTATTGTAATGTCCTGTTTACCAGCCTGGACAAATCACGTCGTTCTCGCCTCCAAGCTGCCAGACTACTAACATGTTCTAGCAATCTCATTCTGGACCCAAACACTGCTGATCCAGAACTCATCCTGTCTGAAGATCTGACCAGTGTGAGATATGGAGGAGAGAGACAGCAGCTTCCTGATAATCCAGAGAGGATTGACTGTTACTTCTCTGTCCTGGGCTCTGAGGGCTTTAACTCAGGGACTCACAGCTGGGATGTTGATGACAGTACAGGGTGGGCACTGGGTGTGTTAGCAGAGTCTGAGCAGAGGAAGGGAAGCATACAGTCTGGATTATGGACAATAGGGTTCTTCGAAGATAAAAAATTCTACCCAGCAGCTGAAACTTCTTTTTCAGTTCAGAAGAAGCTCCAGAGGATCAGAGTGAATCTGGACTGGAACAGAGGAAAGCTGTCGTTCTCTGATCCTGATACTAACACACACATACACACCTTCACACACACT